TACGAGTTACGGTTGTCTTATTATGTTTTTAATTAAATAAACTATTAAAGTGATTTAAAGGCGATATGTTTTCCTTATTTATTTTATAATTCAATATTTATTAGGTAATGGAATGGTGATTTATTATTTTTTGTTACTGGATTTATTATATTAAGTTTTGATAATTTAATTCACTGTTATAACTAAGTGAAAAACTGTGAGTTAGTATCACAAAATTGTTATATAATTGTGTGATCTGAAAAAATAATATATTATGTATTAATATGTGTTAATTATTTATACTTTTACATTTAGGAATTGATTCCTAAGCATCAGAACAATTACTAGAATTTCCATAAAGGAGAAATTGGCATGWCTGTAGTTGATGGGGTCCATATAAAATTTTACATAATAATCACCGACATCAACCATCATAACATCTTCTGAGGACTCATATCTGTAGAACAAAGTAAAGTTTATTAAATAATATAATTTTATTCAAACAGTTAATAATAATAACACTCACGGCAGTTCATTGATATTGAAACTTTTGTATGTTGCCTTGTCAATTTTAAATAGTAATTTCTGTAATTCATATTTAATGTAGTTTTGAAACACAAATTCCCCGTGTTCAGTATATGTTTCTTTTAAATTTATAAGAAACCTTTCTTTAAATTTGATTAATAAACATAATTGTGTACATATTTGGAATTGTCGTAGTACATCATGCATCAAACTAATTGCAATATCATCATGGCTATAACAAAACAATATAAGAGAGAAATAGTGAATATTGCGCTGACATCATCTTAAGAAAAACATTGAGGCTTACTAATTCACACCAATCGTGGTGCTGAACGGAAACAATATGCGTTTTGTTATCTAATTGTGGACCATTTGGTCTTCTACCACACTATCCTCATCMATCTTCAACAATACCATCAGTTTAAAAGTTTCGGATTCTAAGTTTAAATATTTTAAAGACCATATATCTGTCACTTTTAAATCAATATAAGGGTAGTCTTTTCCCCTTGCATTGAATTCATATTTCAAATCCCTGCAAATAAATTAATTTGAAATGTACATAGTTATTTAAATTTTTTTTTTGCTATAATATATTGTACATACCTTATATTGCCAACTCT